ATGATTTCAGATGTTTTTCTACCACAATGTATTAAGCGATTTTATCAATTTCACCTTTAGTTATCAATAATCTTCTTTTATTATTTGGAAGCTCTCATGCCACCGTTTCATCGTTTCATTGGCTTTTCACTGAATCATATTGGAAATTTCTCATCAACAAACTTCGAATCCGACACTATTTTGGACAAAAACAAAATCAAATTGTTTCAGTGGCCTACTCAAATGATATAAGACAACACAAATCAACTGTTTTATTTGAATTGTTAGAGATTAGACAACATACACAACAATTTGAGTTTTTCCTTTTCTCCAATATATAATTTAATGATCGGGGCGACGGTTGTCAAGATTTACGGCCAATTCTTTAATTCTCAACAATTATCTCGAAAAGCATGGCTATTCAAAAGTTCATGTGATCAGACGTCATTTGTTTTTTTGATTTTTCAGCTACAATGCAAATATTTCAAGAAGTTTTTCCTGTTTTCGGGATTGCACTTTTTTTGACAGGTTTGGGCTCAAAATTTAAAAATACTCTAAAGTCTAATTGAAAAAAAGTTGTAGAGTTTTGTGGTACATGATGTTTGCCGCTTCTAACTAGTAAGACGAACCCAATAAGCTCTTCTAAGCTTTCAACAGGTTCTCATAACTAAAAATGGCCAATTTAGTACTTATTGGTTATCTCCCCCCAAACAAACCAACCACTCAGCGGACTGAAACTTTCCCCACCAACCTCCCCACCAACCTCCCCACCAATGCTTCGCTGGTGCAGTTAAATACTAATTTCGCGCATATGCCAATCTGGTTTCTGGTTTCGCATTGCCTATTTAGATTGTTTTAGAAAATATAGAAAATGTTTTCATTCTAAAAACAATTGCTATAGTTCTAATTTTTATGCAGATTTTATTGCTTAATAATACCTATGAAGAGATGAGAGCCCCAATCCGAAAATCAGAATGTTATATGCAAATTGATAAATGCGAAATTTTTGAGTGGGGAGGGGGGGAGAGAGAACCAATAAGTACCGCTAATTTTTCAAAGAATCAAACATATCATTACCATTTTTCAAAAGAGTTCTACTTTTTAAATTATCGGCGATATCATTAGGAATGGCATTTATCCTTTTGTCAGGCATTTATGTACTCCTTTTGTTTCTCTACGACGCCAATTGGACACTTTTCGCCGAGCCTCCTGATCTTGATGAAGAGCTCTACTTTCAACTGATTTTAACTCTGACATCGATGCCTGATTGGGTAAGAAGATCTAGGAACTTGTTTTAAAGCCTTTCACTTTACACTTGACTCTTGGATTATCTTCAGGCCGTCGTCTTCAGCCTCATCCCCACACCAATAGCTGTATACTTTGCCATCACAAACGACAAGTTAACATTACCAATCCGGTTGGTGTTTCGTTCAACCCCTTCTATGACCATTTCCAGAGTGTTGGCCGCAGCGGAAAACATAAATAAATTTGTCTACGCGATCTTCTTCACGTTTGCCGCATATTGCTACAATCAAATGGACGAGAATCACATGCCGTGGAATCGCTGCTCGAGCTCGCTGCAAACTCTCTCGGCCACTCTTGCCGAATATGTAGCCTACTATAATTTGAATGATATTGCACAATACTGTCAGTTGGTTATCTCGCTTAGGTGAGCTCTCATTTATTCACAAACTTGAGTGAAACGATATCTTACAAGCCCGCTTGTCTTCGAAGTGCTTTGTAATTGGCAGGAGAGGCAAACTTTCAGCTCAACTAGTTCATCCGTTTTTTTCTAAAGCAGACAGACCCACATATTCTTTATTCACAAGTTAGGTGCCTGTTCACTTAAAGGGGCCCCTATTAATCGCGGCCGGGTAACCATAAAAATTTTTTTTACGGCAACCACCTGTTTTTTTATTTTAATATCGCTGATTTTATTATAAAAAGAATAAAAATCACCCGGCTAGAGTGATTTGATGGGTTTACAAATTTTTGGAGACGCTGCAAGGCTTGGAGAAAAACAAGATCGTCACTCATCAGACACCTCAGCACAGTCTAGACCGATTGAGTTTTAATTGCAGATAAATTTAAAAACAAAATAAAAAGCACAAAAAACAATAAAAATAAGTTGTTCATCTATAATTCTTCCTCTTGCTCACTTTCATCTTCGCTCAAGTACGGCAGTTCCTCAAATCGGCTTCCTATCTTATCAACTTCCAGCCCATCTTCACCAGAAGTTACCTTTTAATTCCTCATCGAATGATACAAAAATTGGGCTAACTGAATGAAAATTGGAGGTTGGACTACGGTAGTTTTCTCAAATAGGCGCCTTTTCGAAAATGCATTACTCGAGAGGAACACACTCTAATACTCTAGATAGCTTAGGGTGTTTTGATGGCCTTTTGCATTAACTAAACATAAAATCTCCATCTGGAAAAAGGCATCTAGATATGTTAAAAACCAAAAGTGTAGATCGAAAGTCTAAAGAAAACAAAAAGAAAACAAAATGCCTGACTTTTGCTTTACTTTCGCACTTACCTTGTAGATGAACTACGCGAGCCTTGCAGCGCCTCCAAAAATTTGTAAACCCATAAAATCACTCTAGCCGGGTGATTTTTATTCTTTTTATAATAAAATCAGCAATATTAAAATAAAAAAACAGGTGGTTGCCGTAAAAAAAGAACATTGGCTCACTTCTATAGCATAAAAGTGAAGCGTTTGTTAGAAAGAATAGTACAATAATTATTCAAACTTCTTTATTTTGTTATCCTTTCAGTCGTTTCTTTGCAGTCTCTTTTGATGGTCTCTATTTCTGTTATACAAAGAAATGGCCCTTCCTTCAATTACTCTTTCCATATATTTTCCGTATTGCAATGGTCCATCTCAGCTATCTCTACAGTTATGGAAGCAACACTGACGAATATCGAGATTATACAATGATTGGACCATTTTTTCTCATGTGTGCACTCGATTTGATGACAAGAAGAAAAGTGAAACAGGTGTTTGTTTGTAAATAAATTTTTAGCATAAAAAAGTTTCAGTTGAAAAAGAATGGAAAAGCGTCGAGAACAGAGATGTTATTGATGACACAAGTAAGCAATCGGAAAACTTTCTTACACTTTACAAATTTAACTTTTTGTACACGGGTCGTCCAACTAATGAGTCCCAACCAGTGTTATATCCCGGGCTTGGTTCAGGAACGAAACCGGACCTCCACTTTTTTACCCAGATGATCTAGGATTATCCGGCTGGAGAAGCCTTCGGGTTTTGAAACCTTTTGTGACAGAAAGATCTTCAGATCTTGATGCTAAAATTATAACTTAACTACAAGTATACAATATATTGTGACTTTTGTGAGTCTAGCTTGTAAACTTCTCGAAATTTGGCAACAAAATCTTTGAGTATCAAATTTCAGATGCTCACCTGCTCGTTTGTGAATATTTTCAACACGATCATCTATACTCTTGTGTTTATCGTACTAAACTTATTCTTTGGCCCTTCCACTTTGGCAATATTCACGTCGATGCGAATCATTATATCAAAATTTCTTTTCAGTTTTTTTGTCAGGTCAGCTTTTGCATAAAGAGGCTCTTGGGTAATTTTAGGGACTTTTGGAAATTTCCAGGACTTTTGATGATGCTCACCTTTTTTCTATAAGCTTGTATTATTCAGATTTTGAGTTTATACAAATACTAGAACACTTAGGGTTCCTCCAAGTGACTCCATCAACTTTGCTCGAATCCTTAATAAGTCATCCTTTGAATCCCAATTGCGCTCCTTGGCAATGAAAGACTATCAAGCAGAAAATTGAATCGCACCGTCATTTTCTTCCTCTGATTCACGCACTCCTCCAAAAATTGTGTCTAGGGTAGCTTTGATCATTTTAGTCGGATAATCGTTGATAAGATCGATTGCAGGTTAAGGCTCAATTCCTTGTGGTAGAATGGTTGGCTTTAATACATGACCTGCGCAAATCGCAAATAAAATCAAATAAAAATGAAAACGCCAAGAAATCTCATTTTTTGGAACCATGTATTGACACCAATAAATGTCAGGCTCAACACTTTTATCTGTACGCTTATCTTATCTCTTTTGTCATAGGCATTAAAGAGAGAATCAGAAGTATAGAGAAATGCCAGCAGTGTAACTGTCAGTCAAAATAAATTGACTTTGTAAACCATAAATTCATAGAAAATTAAGTAAAACATTAAAAAGTCCCGAAAATTACACAAGAGCCCATAAAGAAGTAATGATTAGGAAATGTTCAGTACAATCAGTGTCTTCACCCTCAGGAAACCGAGAGAACAAAGAGTCCAACAACGAACGGGAAAATCTATCACGGTGAAAAGTTGTGAATGATAAAAGTTTTGATCATTGACTCAAAATGCGTTTTTACAACAGCCACACGACACTTCAGGGTCCATCTGCAATAGAAAAAGAGAAGACAAAGTGAAAACGAACGCAAAAAGAAACAGAGAACAGAATTGCTTTCGTCGAGCGGACAAAACGACTTTTTAGCACAAAACTTTCTTTCAAATAACTAAAACTATCGTAACCCATGTTAAGCCTCGCCCCTGTTTTAAAAATGGACCTAAAATTCAGATTCCGCATAGCCGAAAACCCCCGGAGCAAAATATCGCTGAAAGCTGAATACTTTGTCTTTTAGCCGATGGAGCAAACGTAATTACGGAGCGTCGCGTTTGCGCACAGACAGACACGTCTCTTCTACTTTATATACAGTAGATAAGTGATTGGAAAAATTTCTCGACCAACACAACCAAAAAGAGCACGCTTCGAAAAAAGATTTAGAAGCACACAGATAGTATCAAACAGAAAGAATACAGTAAGAGAATAAATACACACTAGAGATTGTCAAGCATTGCAACCAGATTAAGTGTACTCACGGTTCGTTCGAATTTCTCGTAAATGATTTGGAAGTAAATTCAACAGTTTTACAATACGGTTTTTAAGAAAGTCCTGAGAGATTTTAGAGGAAAAGGGTTGTGAAAAGTTTTCCATTAAAATTGTATTCGGCTTTCTGAGACATCAGGGCTCTCGTTAAGGGTTTGAATCAATTGCTAGACAAATTAAATTAAATTCTTTTTAAAACCCCAATCAACTCACCTTGACTTCAGCATCGAATTTGCACAAATGACGCAAGTAATTCTCAGCAGATGATTCAAATTTGGACTTGATCTTTCTAAAGAACAAACGGGTTGTTTTAAAATGTTAAAATTTACGTGAATGATTCATGTTTCTCCCCGAAATCGGCAAAAGTTGATACGTCCTTGAGAGTTTCCTCTTTCGAAAGCAATTTCTAAAGAAATATCGAATTAAAACGGTTTTATTTGATAAAAATACCATTTCAAAGATGTCAATGCCCGCGAGAAGTCCCTTGTGTAGTTCAGGAACCAAATCCTTGTACGTTTTGATGACATTTCTTGACTCTTGTTGAACTTCCATCAACATTTTGTTAGCCTAAACACATGAGATTAATATCGTACGCCTTTCGATTCCAAACTAACAAAACTAATAACAAGATGCAAAAGATACCTCTTTTTCCAATAGAGGAATGGCCCCATGTGGATGATGTCTCTTGTAAGCACAAACAGCACAAATCTATAAATCAAAAAGGGCTTAATCAATATTAACAATAGTTTACTTCAAAAACACATTTACCGCAATAAAACATTTCGTCGACAATATTCTAAAATACTTCTATAGAAATCAATTTAAGTAGGCATACCTTTTTGTGGCATTCGTTGCAGCTACATTCATCTTTGACATTTCTCGCAACATTCATCATGGTCTCCATTTGTCGAGTCATTTCGGGCAGCTCATTTAAAAAGTCTAAAGAAAAATTAGTGAACGTAAAAAGAAGTCATCTACCATGAAATCGATCTTTCCGTTTGTTGACAGCAGTGTACATATCATATGTCTCTGCACAAGTTGGACATTTTATTTGATATTCGTATGGATAAGACTTCTGACGTGTCTTCAAACAGCATTTCGTGCAAATGATATGCCCACATTGAAGAGCAAACGATTTCTTTGCCTCAATTTCGTTTGAATCTAAAGCAAAATTTTTTAAAGCAAGTCATCAAACCTACATTCATCATGACAAATTGGACATTCCGGAATTTTGAAAGGCTAAAAGAATCACGATGATTTGTAAATCCCAAATCCAACCTTCACAAGCAAATATCCCATTGGAGTAAACATCAAAGCGCTTTCTTGTGACAAAACATCTAAAATAATTTGACTAATCAGCTTTCACTCAAAACAAAAATCAGAATCAAACTCACCAATCAAAAAGTAGGCAAGGTCTTGGCTGTAGAAACAGTAAATATTTCCACATTGATGATTTCTCTCTTCTTGTTCCAACATCTCCTCTTGCTCGAAACACTCATCACACATGGCCAATCCACAGCCCAACTGACGTGGAGATCGACGTTGATTAGCAACTCGAGCATCTAAAAGATTGGAAGATAAAACAAAAACCCACTTATTTACGCTTTAAAATCTAGATTATTTCGAAATCCATAACTGAAAAGCAAAAACTTACACGGTTGCTTGCAGAGAATGCAGCTGAGCGATTCAAACACCCTCATTTCCTAAAAAGAAAGCATTAGAATTATTGAACAATCAACAAAAAAAGATGAACGCAAGAAAGAAATCAAATTGAGAGTTTGTGTGTTGAGGGTGGTAAAATTGAGAGAATATTTTTAACTCTACCTAAACTTTTAACGAACTTTTAGATGCTTGACAGCAAAAGCTGTGTTTTTCCAAAATAATATAAACACGGGTCTTTTGAAAACTTTTTGAAAGCGACTGCTCGAAAGTTAACCGGCTTCTTTCCCTTTTCATATTTGATTGAATATGTTGAGATTAAAGTCTAAACCATAAGATATTCAGAGAGCAGATACCGTAAAAGGTTTAATAGAAGAACCCCCTATAGGAGCGTCGCGTAGTCTAAGTTTACTCTCAAACAAACGCTCATTTCTCGACACCAGAACGTTTGTTTCTGCGCGCTTGGGTATCAAATTAACAATATAACACATATTTTTAGCATTAACCAGCGCTTAGAACCAAATGATTGAAAAATGATGAAAAATCGGTTTTTTTTGTCACTTTTGTCTTGCAAAAAATCACCCATCCTCTCTACTTTAATTTGATACCCAAGCGCGCGAAACAAATGTACTGGTGTCGAGATATGAGCGTTTATTTGAGAGTAAACTTAGACTACGTGACACTCCTATAGGGGTTCTTCTATTAGAGCTTTTACGGTAATTTGCTACTTTTCTCGATTGACTGAATATTCGGTGATTTTTTTAACTTCTTACGTCATTTTTGGACACATCGATTTCCTTTACGAACTTCAAACGAGAAAAACAATTTAGAGCTCGTTACCGCTTTGTGGAATTCATTTGTTCGCCCGAAAAGACTTCATAGATTCTTAGATTCTTTTTCCTTTGCTTACTCTTTCAACTCCATGGTCTTCGTATGGTTTGAGCTTGTTTTCTGGTTTCAATCTATCACAATGTAATTTTGTCGTCACCTGTTTGAGAAACAAAAACTGACCTCTAGCCTGAACTTTTTCTGGTTTGTCTCAGCCTCTCACGCCACCATTTCTACAATTCTCATCTGGCTCTTCACTGAACCAGATCGCAAATTTCTCATCAAGATGCTTCAAATTAGTCACTGTTTGAGAAAAAAGCCAACTCAAGTAACTTCGAACAACTGGTTAGCTCACTGAGATATTAGAGAACTCACAGATAACTTTGTGATTTGTACTCTACTCCTAAGTTCTTTTATCAGTGTGCATAAGAAATCTGATGATGCGTATCATAAACAAGTATTTGAAAGATATGTGCTCTTCGTTAATGTAATGTGATCGTCTCAAATTGGGCTCCATAAATGTGAGAAAGATTGGCTTGGTGGGACTGAAATATCAAACATCTTGGCTTGTCATGAGTTTTATTTTGTACCAAATTTGTAAATTAACAATTGTCAAGCTCTGGTTCTTTTACGAATTTTCTGTTTCCCTCTACCCAAATGCGGTTGTTTGATCCGAAAAGCGATGAAAAACACTCCATCGCCCTTCTGTTGGATTGGAGCATAAGTATTGATTACCTGTTCGAAGCTCAATTTCTCAGAAATCAAGCAAATAAGCTGGTAAAAATAAACTGAGATTATCTTAAAATCCCAATCAACTCACCTTGGCTTCAGCATCGAATTTGCACAAATGACGCAAGTAATTCTCGGCGGATGATTCGAATGTTGATTTCATTTGTCTAAAGAAAAATGCTGTATGATTTAAAGTGGCAAAGCATACGTGAATGATGCATGTTTCTCCCCGAAATCGGCAAAAATTGATGCGCCCTTGAGAGTTTCTTCTTTCGAAAGCAATTTCTAAAGAAATATCGACTTCAATCGGTTTTATTTGATAAAAATGCCGTTTCAAAGATGTCAATGCCCTCGAGAAGTCCCTTGTGTAGTTCAGGAACCAAATCCTTGTACGTTTTGATGACATTTCTTGACTCTTGTTGAAGGTCCGTGAACATTTGATCAGCCTAAACACATGAAATTAATATGGCACGACTTTCAATTTCAAACCAACAACGAAGTGCAAAAGATACCTGCTTTTCCAATAACGGAATGGCTTTATGCGAACGATGTTTTTTGTAAGCACAAGCGTCACAAATCTATAAATAAAAAAGAGCTTAATCAATATTAACAATAGCTTACTTCAAAACCACATTCACCGCAATAAAACATTTAGTCGACAATACCCTAAAATATCTCCATAGAAATCAAGTGAAGTAAGCATACCTTTTTGTGACATTCACTGCAGCTAGGATCATCTTCGGAACTCGTTAAAGCATTCATTACAGCATGCAGCAAAGCTTTCATTTTTGGGTTATCCATCTGTTTCATCTGCCTAGTCATTTCGGGCAGCTCATTTAGAAAGTCTAAAGAAAAATTAGTGAATGTAAAGAGAATTCATCTACATTGAAATCTATCTTTCCGTTTGTCGTCAGCAGTGTACGGACCATATGTAAGTGTACAAGTTGGTCACTTGATTTCATAATTATAAGGGGTCTTCAAACTGCATTCCATGCAAATGATATGCCCACATTCAAGAGCAAACGATTTCTTCACCTCAATTTCATTTGATTCTAAAGCAAGGTTTTTTCAAGAAAATCATCAAACTCTCATTCATCATGACAAATTGGAGATTCCGGAATTTTGAAAGGCTAAAAGAATCTTTATTCTTTGTAAGTCACAAGTCCAACCTTTAGAAGCAAATATTCCATTGAAGTTCACACCAAAGAGTTTTCTTGTGACAAAACGTCTAAAATAATTCGATTTATTAATCTCGCTTTTACTTGAAACCAAAAAACATAACAAAACTCATCAATCAAAAAATAGGCAACGTTGAGCTTATCGAAGCAATAACGAAGTTCACATTTATGCCTTCTTTCTTCTTCGTCCATTTCTTTCTCTTTCTCGAAATATTCAGTGCAAATCGCCAATCCACACTTCAAAGGTCGTGGAGATCGAGGTTGATTGGGAACTCAAGCAACTAAAATTTAGAAAATGAAACAAGCAGAACATTTATCCCTTAAAATCCAGACTAATTTTAAAATTCATTACTAAAATGTAAAACTTACACATTCTTTCCAAAAAACACTGTTTCAAAATGAGTAGAGCACGACATCAACAAGAAAAACAGCGCTGAAAATGTTGTTTTTCAAACCCTATTTTGCGCGCCCCGAAAAATTAAAATAATTTTAAAACGCAAATACACCATCTTATAGAGCTTATTTAAAGCTTTCAGAATCACTATAACACTTCCAGTCTACGATGGAAAGGCTCGGAGTTATAGCTCTTCAAAAATGGAGAAAATTCGCGAGGTGATAATCTTTTGTCCAGTACTGCATATGCCCAAGACGGGCGAGTTGCCTGATGAGGATTAGGAGGATTGAGCCATTTACAGTGTTGAGACATAATGTGAACTAAAATTTGTGGTATTTTGGATCTTGGTCTCGAAATCGAGAATCAACATTCGAATTTTCAATTGTCTGAATTCAGCATTTCACCACCATTTAGGACAGTGTCTTACAGTTAAAAAGAACTACTTGCAAAGTGTATTTTGCTTTTAAAAGCTATCAACACAGCACCATGATTATGCTGAATAAATCACAAGGTTTCGACGCACAATCTTAGTAGCATTGTGGAATTGTAGAGTTAGGCGATTATAGGCTGCTTGATAGAGATATTATTATAGAAACAAAGTTTGAGGAATTACTAATTAGTATCACTCTGTTTTGATCATAGCTTAAAGGGATAGCGACACATAGAAAATCGCAATCACCGATTGCCAATTTCTTTTCATGTCATTTTCAAAACTCGTTTATGCCACACGTCTTCCTTTCAATTCCAAAACGACAAAAACACAATAAAACAAGTTAAGTTTACAGTCTGAAAAATGATTTGAGCAATGACATGTCTCCGCAAGATTCGTTTTTGAAGACAATGGAAAAGTTTTTGACTTCTAAAGCTAGAGTTCGATTAGGTGAATTATGAACTTACCTCGTTCGAGTCTCGTCTTCTTTTTTCTCTTTCATCATTTCTTCTTGAGTCAGCTTTTTTGGATCAACAGCTCGACCCTGAAGAACAACGGCCACACAAGCGGTGCTTGTTATACCCAAACATAGCACAACGTAGATACCTGGAAATAGCTACAAGATGATTTATAAGTTTGTATGAACAAGTTTTTTGAACCACTGATAAATACAGAGTTTTGATCAATTTTTAAGATTTGTTATTGGCTTGTATGTATGTTTTTATGCGATCAACTTCACTTTCTGATTGAATGAAGCTTACCTACGTGTGATTTTTAAGAATATTATAGAATTTATTACTGGGATTTCAATTTAATTAGAAATCACCGTAAAAACTTTAGAATACATCTCGGTCTTATCCCAAAATTTGGTGATTTTGTTAGAAAACAAACCCAACAAGGGAAAAACAGAAGTTTTCGGAATAGCGGTCGACAGCATGTCCAACAATACAGTTATCGCGACAAGAGTTGTCAAACCGATGCTCAACTAAAATTCACTTTTTGTTTGCCTTCATTTTAAAAGCAATTCCCTTTTCTGTGATTACTTTGGTGAGTTGCTCCTTTCGAATGTGAGGCGTCCAAAACATCCCAAAAATCCCAAGCATTGTCAGGATGAAACCCGGTAAAGCGATCACATAAACATAGTAGTTGGGAACTCTCTTGAGGAAGATTGTTGGGAGAAGCTAAAGGAATGCTTTCTCGATTAACTCACAACAAAAAAACATGTTAAACCAACCAGTGTGTGAACAGTGTCGGTCAGAAATTGATAGGGTATCATTGCCACACCACTCACATCCCATTCACCATTTCCCTAAAGAGCTTTTTTTGAAGTTAAAATATTTCCAACAAGTTACCAACAAATTGAACACATTAACGTTTTGAATTTTACCGCTCATCGATGAGTACTGACTGAAAAAAGATCTGTTAACCGATCAGCTCACTTTCGAAACTTTGTTCTATTGATCTTTTTTTTATCTTCTATCTTGATTTTTTATCTACAAGTGATTTAAATGTCAATTAGTAAGCGAAGTACATCAAATTTTCAACTGCCTTTCAAGCTTTTCAACTGACCCATTCAAATCCAAAGCCATCGCAGCGACTGGAATCGCGCAAGTTTGATTGTCAAATGGAAATCGAGAAATCTAGAGAAAAGCTATTGAACAGATAATGAGCAGCTTTACTGACAAGGGAAACAAATATACTTACGGACGCCGATTGTCCCCAAAATTGGTGGGTAGTAGAATCGACTCTGAGGAACAACATATTAAAAATTCAGCTGCAAAGCCCCAAGATTACGGTAGTTATAGTGTTTTTAATTTTTGGTAAAATTTGAGCGGCAATGGGGTCTCTCTCCGCAACGATATTAGGGCTAGTTGGCACGGTGGAGCCATTGCGCGGTGGTGTAGTGGTAGCGCGTTCAGTCGCAAAGCGGAGTCTCCGGGGTTCGAGTCGGTTTTTGAGATACTGTTTTTGCCATTTTTGCCGCACCATCGAACCATGTTTGGAGGAGAAAGGGTATGTGATCAAATAGTGCAGAGACGATTTTCTCGATAGAAAGCGTTGATAATCGTTATAACAACCGTAATCTTGGAGCTTTGCAGCTGAATTTTTAATTGGATTGGAGCAGGTGTTGTTCCCCAGAGTTTCTACCTACCCACTAGACTTGCTTAACGAGAAAGATCAAAAAAAATTGGGTCGCGCAACTAGGCGCTTGATCTAGCCTTCAGAGCATCGGATTCCAATGAACTTTTTTTTGGTCTCATTAATTCTGGATAAGGATTGTCTCGTTAAGTCTCGGTAAGGTTTTTCGCCCACTCTTTCAAAAGAAAAAGATAAGTGATGAGTATCATTAGATAGCTTAAAATCGGCTTTTAAATAAAAAAGCTCATTGGAATCCGATACTCTGGAGGCTAGATCAATCGCCTGGAGTTGCGCGACTCATTTGCCTCGTTAATTCTCGTTAAGCAAGTCTACTCCCCACCAATTTTGGGGGTAATCGGCGTCCGTAAGCATATGTGGTTCTCCTGTAAGATCACTTTTAACATCAAGCTTACTTCGACAACACAAGCAACTTCAGCAAAATAGACCATAGACATATGAATCGTTCCGTTACTCGAGAGAACGATCGTTTTCATTGAGTCCGGATGAAGAGTGTCTAGTGATTTTCTGGAAACATTCGGTAAGTGAACCACTTGAAACAAAGCTTCAACCACAAATAATCGATTCTATTCTGAATTTGGTATTTAAATTTTTACGTGTTTCCAATTTGATTATCCGGTGTCCAAATGAGATCAGCAGTGACAAAGATGAACTTGGTGTCGTTGAAGTGCTCTGGGCTCCACGATAATCTTGGATCGACCCAGCTCTAGAAGTTTGGGCTACAAAGTTTTCGGACTCCCTCGACTACCATTTCAAACTCGCAGAAGAAACTAATAATTTGATTCTCGGCGTCCTAGAAATCGAGAAAGCTTTTCTATTTGACCAAACAACTCACTAAACCAAAAACTTTTAAATAGCGAAGAATCATGTCCACATGTAAACGGGCCACATTACTGCCTGAAAACTATTTCAAAAGTGAGGACTGTTGCTTAACAACCAACTAAACTTGTCAATTAATATTATCCAAATTTAAGGGTTGAGTTCAAAAGCTTCAAAAGCCAACAAACTATTGAAATCAACGGGCATTCGTCCATAGAGTGGAGCCAGAAATCGATTGTAGTTTCTTCTAGTGAATATCTCATTGAAAACAGCCGTTGCATCGTTCATCCACAACGAGTACTCTTCTGAAAATTTCTTTAAGTTCTGTAAAAAAACTAGTTTGCTCTTCAACCTGGATAACCGATCGTTGTATAGTCAAACTGAGCCATGAACAAACTAGGAAGCAAAATGAAAATAAACAAGAGAATCATCGAGAAGAAATGAATTGAATTATGTTTTTTGACTTGTCAATTGTTGAGTTGAGTGAACTCGTTGAAATTTGAGCTCACCAAGTGACGCCTTTTTCTTCGAAAGACCCCAAACGACCCATTGGGCTCAATTTTTGATGAACATTTTCTCACAAGAAACTTGGGTAAATAAGAGAAATAAAAGCTATTTTCTCTAGTTTTTAAGATATTTCTTTGTTTTTTACTAAAGATCAAACGGTAACAAACAATAAAAAAATATTCAGTCAAGAGTTAATATTAAGTTAAACATTCTGTGGCTTTTTTATACAATCGTTTCTTTCTTTCAATTACCCAACTTTGGGGACCAAGATTGGCGCAAAAGTCTTTACAATCTTTTTTAGACTTTTTTTTTTGATTCGACTTTAGTAAACGTGTCTTCATAACTTCATAACTTTTTGAAATAGATGACAGACATAGATAAATATTACAAATTCACTTCAAGTTGCCAGTTTCGAATGGTTTGAGCACTTTTAGAGTTGATTTGAAATTTGTATTTTATTGAATAAGAGTGAAATTGGATTAGACTTTATTACAGTTAGCACATTTTAACAAAATGATTTCTCCTAATTTCCGTATTCACGCTGATAGCTGGGTTTTTCCTGGATGAAAGGCTTCAATGATGGCCAAAACATTTGAGTAGACTCCGGCGCAGATGGCACAAATTCCGATACAGACACAGAAGCAGTTCCACAAAACTTTCGAGATACGTTGACAATATCCCATTGAACGCTAAATATTTATAGAGCTTTCTGATTTGGTTGGAGAGTATGGCTTCGCTGCGAAGTTTCTCAGGTTTTCTAGAAAGCTCAGGGATTTTGTAAAAGTCAATTTGCATCATCAAAACAGTTCAGATGTGTAGTAAATTTGCAAATGTATTGCTTTGTGGATTTTCAAGCATAGCTACTCAAAAGAGCATAATGTACGATTTGAACGATGACTTATTTGGTGTCAATAAAAAGAACAAAGCACATTTAATTGTATAAGTAGTCAAATTTCCTTTCCTTTTCTTTAAATCTTATTTATAATTTTTATAGTTAATTTTTATTTTGACGATAGGTGGATAGACGAGAGCACAAAGAGTCACGGGGTGACAAAAAGAGTTCTTATGGTACTTGTGATTTTTTTCGAGAAAATGCTGGGTTAGCGCTTTAAAGCGTGGTAAAACTACCGTACCCTCCGAATTTGCATGGAGGAAATGCGCGAAATTTCATTTTTTAATTCTGGTTCATTTCATTTTATTCTTTTTGCGTTTTTCTGATGTTGAAGCGTTTGTTTTTGTAGGAAACAAAGCTAAGTTACTTTTTTAACAGTATTTTCTGTGGCGGAAGCTTTGTTTGTCGTTTTTTTAGACCCACTTGCTTCCCGACGATCTGCTCCACAAACTTGATGCCAACTAATGTTAAGTTAAGTGGTTTTTATCATTTTCTATGACGAAAGCTTTGTTTTTGTTACTTTTTATCACGCTTTAAAGCGCCAACCCAAGATTCTCTCGGAAAAGGGTCGCAAGGGCTAAATTGGACTTTACGGTCCAAAAGGGTAAAATTCAAAACCGAATTGCTTTGGACTAAACTTTTTCCCATCATTATTTTTGTCTTATTTGTGCATAATTAGACCTAGCAAAGTATAAAACTGGTTTTGAATATGTTTTTGCTCTTTTTAAAACATTGTTTAAATTTGTTGTAAGATCATATTCCCAATCTAATAATTGATTAAAAACAAACCTGCCATTCGTGCCAAAATGTCAAAATTTCGAATAGCGGTGGGTATACGAGAGCACAAAGTGTCCCCGATGTGACCCCAACCAACGGGATCATTATTTCGAGATTTGGTATACCAATTGCCAAAAAATACGTTAATAGTACCCAAAACAATCTGTAAACTGGTTCATTTATCAAATATTATAAGAGATTTGTACCTGTATCCTTTATCCAAGAGAATGTTTGGCGTTTTTGGGTAACGCTCGTGTACCCTTCGCTGAAAACCCGGATAAAAGACTTCGATGATGACAAATCTAGGTGTTAAGTTGAAAGTTTATGAATGAAAAGTTACTCACAAAGCAAATGAATGCACGAGAACAGTTTGAATCATTAGAGAAACATTGACAGACGAGTAGAGTCTGAATTGATGGACAATTGATCAACCTGATCAAAAGCGGGAAAATTATGAACAATGAGCTTTTGCTTTTGCTCGATAAACACAAACACATTTATATCTTTTTATTAATATCTTCTTGTAGGGTTTTCCAAGATGCAAAGCTTATTAGCGAGATCTCACTGGAGAAGCTTACTCACCCATCTTTTGGCACATTGCTCGTGATAGATGGCGCTATTTTATCCCCAAAACCGGTATATCTAAACGAAGCATTGTATAAAATTTCAAAGAAAGTTTAGAATTGAATAATGTCGTGTAGGGCTTACCCAAAAAAGCCAAGCCCCGTCATGATTGATCCACAGGTGAGCATTGTTGTCGGCAGGACGCCACATCTCGATAAAAAATCCTCCGGATGCTTTAGCTTGTTCTCAACGGGTAAAATCTAAAGCAGCTTCTATATTTATTAACACCACTTCAAACTAATCATAGTTTGCCCTTCAAACGAGTACATCAAAATCCCGATCATCATCGTTGTCCCGGTGAAGTCGGTGTAAGCGGGCAGCTTGTCCCATTGTGTTGGCTGTCGAATCGTGAATTGCAAGATAACAATCATACCGATTGCAAAGAAGATAGAAGAAATCTGAAATCAATCTTTGAAACATGATTGAAAAAAATGGAAATGATTTTAAAAAGAACCAATGCAAAGAACGTGACAACTTTCATCGACGTGAACATGTTCACAAAAATGACGAATGGGAGAGAGATTGTACAGGCCATGATCATCTGAAAAAAAACCATATATATGGGAAAAAAGAACCAATATTCTAGCCGGCGGGATTGAACCCTTGACCTCCCGCCTCTTAGCCAGTCGCTCATGGCGGCCGTGAATTGGAAACTTGAAAGTTGGTACACTTATTCACTACACTTTTTAAAACTAACTAGTGCACCAATTAATCTACAGTTTTTGCCAATAAAAAGGTCTATTTATTCTCTAAAACAGACTTTTGACAGATTTAGAAAAGCTTCGGTTTTGTAGATTTCTAGGGGACAAGAAGTTGAGAAACCAAAAATGATGAACACTCGATGAAGCGATTTGAACGATTCTTCCACAACCTATTTTGGTGCCAATAAAAAAAGTGAGAGCCTAAAAAGTTAGATAAATAGCCAAATTTTCAGCTAGATCTAATCAATCGTTTTGTTATATTGGGTAGGTGGGTATGACTTTGCCGAGAACTTCAAAGATATTTCTTGAACATCTCAAAACTCATGGTTTGTTTCACCAGAAAGATCTATCTTTTCTCTACAAAATTGCTTTTAAGATATTTCAAAAAAGCTTTCTCTTTGTGGATTTATGAACTCCTAAATACAGCTGGTCAAAATCGCAAGGAGTCCGACTCGTCGTTTGACCTTTTGTTAATCAAATCGTTTGGCCTTTTTTTGCGCTGAGGCTCTGTTTTTATTCCCTTTAAATGCCATTTTGTAGAGAATTAATTAATTAACCTTTCTACTAATATCAAACGCGTATCATTTGACAAATTCTGCTAGAAGTTTTAGAAATTTCTTTAATTTTTGCGGCAACCCAATAGTTCCATTTGCAGAATTTTCCGAAAAACTTGAATTGCTTAAATTCATTTCAAAAGTTACCCAAATTTGCTTAAGCATGTCTAAAATTTGATAATATATAACTTTTATTTAGAGAAGATCAATTGGCGTATCAAATGTTTTATGGAAAATGCGAAAAAGTGTACCAAATTTCAAGTTGCCAATCTAATAAATAGAGACTTGATTTTATTAATAATGGTTCTATTAAAAGATTTAAGTAATTAAATAATTTCAATAATTTAATAATAATTTAATAATTTGGTCTAAGGATAAATTAAGTTTAACAAAAAAACCCTTAGGAATCAGTGTGAGGAGAGAGTGCGTGGGCTGGCTTTGCTTTGCATAGACAGTCCTTTGCTAGGGCTGATTATGGGACTAATTGTAAGAAATCTCAGAACATTACTTACAATTACTTATCTAACATAAAATCTGAATAGTTAATTAAATTAAGTCTACAAAATTTGATTACCCGCTCGTGTTGCGTTGATCCAAGGTGCTCACCGAACAGGTTGACCTGGAATCTCTTTTAAGAGGCTGCTCTGCTCATGAAAACTTGCCATGTTATCGGAAATGAACAAAATCGATACACTGCACATTCCCACTTGATAGAACAATATTGAGATATCGACGAAATAACTATAGTTTATAGATAAAGATATAGAGCACATTCACTTACACAATAGGCATAGTCATTTTTCGGAGCATTTCAAACTCCGAATTCTCACAGACTTTTTTTGCAAAATGCCCATAATCTAATGCTGGTTGTTTGGATCTGAAAAGACTTTTCATTTTTCTCTTTTTAAAGCTACTTCTTTGCGAGATGTTGACTTGATTTGACAAGAATGTGATTTCCATACCAATTGAAACAAAGAACAAGAAATGAGGTCGCAAAGGAAACCTGAAACTTTTATGTTCAATTTTTATGTTTGTTTATGAAAACATGAACGTTTTACCAAAAGTCTTACCCACAATCCACCACGTTTCCATGCATACGGCAACGAGAAACATCCGGCGTTGAACATCGCTTTCGATAGGGTCATCACAGCTCCCGTTGAACTAAAAACAGCTTAGACTGGGTCTTGGACTTGTTTATTTAAAATTCCAAACGTATAACAATAGCCAACTTCTTTTACTAAAACAAATTCCCAATATCTGTGCTCACCTAATCACATCACCTTTCCTCTCTCCATTCTCCATTCGTATTTCGGTAACTTCGGCATCATTCATTGAAGAATTCTTTCTAAAACTTTTTCATAGGCTTTCTTCAAATACGATACATTTATTGGTTATTGGACATTTGATACGTGCCCCCACCCCTTTTGCCACTGGCAATCTAACTTTGAGCTCAAATTTCTTGGTGTTAGGCTGTCGAATTTAAATATTCTTGGTATCATTAGATGCGTCAATTCTTTCTCTGTCGATTGGTACAAAAACTATTTAAATTGGACAGGCCAACACCAAGATATTTCAGCTCAAAATTAGATTGCCAATGGCCAAGCGGCGGGCGCGTCTCAAATGTCCCACAAGCGCATTTATTACCTGTTACTTTCTTTGTCATTCATCGTGAGGGGTTCCTCGTTGACGTATTTGAGATGTGAAGTCATGAAGGGATCTTCGCGAGTTTTCTCTGGGTTATTAGTGTCCATTTCTACTCTAAATGTTTATGAGAAATTTTAAAAGCAAAGTTTCAAGATAGTTTCAGAAACAAAGAAAAAGGGTTAAAAAAATTGATGAATCTGAGAGACGTTCAGAATGCAAATCCTTCGACTCCGTTGGACTGCCTAAGCTCGTTGGCTCCGATGTTCACAGTCCAGGCCGATCCTGTCAACGGGTCATGCTTGATATGAGCTAATAATCGTAATTTTCATAAAGAAACCACTCCAGAAAAAGCATCTTTAAGAAAAACAAAGCTCACAACTACCTGACATTGAAAAACTTTAAAGATCTGATCTATGTCTCAGGCATAAAATTTATTGTTACGAGTGAGTCTGCCAAAATACACAAACAAATCCATTCGCTCGGTCTATGAAAGATCTGCCTTGAATTTTGATCGTATGACATTTTTTGTTGTTTCCCCGTTGTGAAATGACGAAAATTTCCTCGGTTTTTCAAAGAAAACAAACCTTTTTGAAAGGACATTTTTCTCTCTCTCTTCTTTTATCTCAATAAAGATAATGTATCTCAATAATTCAAAAAAACATTTGAACTTATTGGTTACGAGGAGTTATTTTACTTATTGGTTACTTATTGATTATTTTTTGTTGTTTTACTGCCTTCAATTTGATTGTGTTCACAATTCGCATATCGATAGTGAAATCTCGATAAGGAGGGGAATCTTCATTGGCGATGCCTGTAAGTAATCATTTTTATGAGCCAAATTGCTCGGCTACGAGATGAATGCATGAAGTATTCGCTATATTAAAAGAAGTCTCCACTATTGGATATCATTTTAGCCTTATCTGTAAACCTACACTTGTATCTGGTATACAATGCCGCAAGTCTCTTGAAGGGAGTTCTGTATCACAATAAGTTTATTTCGAATTGAACGAACTTTTGACGAAGTATTCAAAAAAAGATTTGTCATAGGTAATCTGATTCCGTATACAAAAAATTAGCTAGCAAATGCGAAGTAATTAAATAATTAATCACCAGTAATACATAAAAAATTGTTCTATTGAAGTTAGGTATCAGACCACTGCAAGACATTTTAATGAAACATTGTGAAATCAAAACTACTATAAAAATAATGAAAAATGATAGCTTTTGATCGACTCTTGTTTTTTTTTAAAAACATCCTAAAGCAGAGGTCTTCAGCTACAATTTGATGACATAATGTTGGCGTTTCGGGCATGAGAAACGTCCCTCTTTTATGGTAAATTTAAATTTATTCTTTGAAGTTGAAAGTTTTGGGACTTTTTGCGTGAGCTGAAAGCGCATCTGTTTATCGTTCATCGGTATTCTTGAGAAAATCGAAAATAATCTAAAAAATGAATCTTCTCCGATCATTTCGATTTCGAGACAAAGATGGGAATAGAGCCTTTGAAAGCTATTATCGTGGTTCGAATTTTTAAAATCAAATCTTTCCTTTCAGGCAGCCATAACTCCGCCCCTTTTTCGGTTCGTTTGCCGTTGGCAATCTACGAATTTTGCTCGGACCTTAACCGAGTTTATTTGAAAAACGTTGAATTTGCTTTCATTCGATAGAAAATTTGATTCTGAATTGAATGAAAGCAAATTCAACGTTTTTCAAACAAACCCGGTTAAGGTACGAGCAAAATACGTAGATTGCCAACGGCAAACGAACTAAAAAAGGCGTCGAGTTAATATGCCTGCTTTCAGGAAACAAATGCTCAAATTGAGAAAAAATATTTGCAAACAACTAAATAAATAAAGAGCACCAAATGATCGAAATAAAAGAAACTCGGAGCAAAGCTAATATTGTATACAAAAGCTTGGTTTAGTTTAAATTTACCTTTACTTTTATGAAAAAGTTTTAAAGTACAGCTACACATCATCGTTCCACAGTTCGATTCGCGGAGAACGGCGCGCGCCTTTAGGGACGGAAATCTTCTTGCTTTTTGCCTAGAAAATTTCTATTCGACTAAACATTAGTTTGCTAAACTTTTAGAAAACGAGATTACCCTAAAAACTCTATTAGAACGGCTCTATTAGCTCATCTTATCGAAACTTACTTTCAAGAGCTCCAAAGGGGACAAATGTGCAAAAGCTTTGTATACCAAGTTGCTGTATACCAAACTGGACCTGCACTTACTTTCCCCTGGCCAATCCCTGATATTCCCATTGTGAGCGATAGTTCTCGAAATAAATTGTCTTTGCCCGCTGCTCCAAATCAATCAACTCAGCTGTTTTGTTGATTCGCTTCTTGTCATTTTTCACCACAATCCAATAGATTATCCACGGGGAAACCATCGTGAAATACATGGGGAACTGAGAAGTTGTGGTTTGAGTGATCATTTTGACAAAATGACTCAATTAAACTCACAAAAGTGAATCCTGATCCAGCAGAGTACCAAGGTTCTTCAAGGTACGCAAAAAGCTCTCGATAGGCATAACCGAGAACGGACAAAGTGAGAAATGATATGGCATGGAAAAAACTAAATGTGAGAAATATT